ACTTTCAATCTTCACCTCCAGGAACAATCTAAGGCCATCTGTGAGGATCTGTCCTTTCCTGAGAGTCAGGCTAAAAGGCAGGAGACACCTGAGGCAATGAATTTTCCCAACAAATTCTCAGCCAAATAAAAGCACCATACAAAACATAGAGGTGTGAATGAGAGTTTACTTCTACTTCACCTGTGCCAGTGTTCACGCACAGTTTACATCCTGGAGAGCCACAGAGAAATAAAAATAAGCAAAGAGCCTGGGAGGTCAGTGTTTGCAGGAGCCTTTGCAAAGATTATTTTTGTTTGCATTTCATTTATTATGTGTGTGCATGCACATGTGGGCAGGCCAACCACTGGCTTGTGAAGCTCAATTGTCTTCTTTCACCATGTGGGTCTCAAGGACTGAATTGCATTTGCTAGAGTAATTTGGCAGCAATCACTTTAACCCACTGATCCATCTTACCCAGGCCAGAAGGGACTCCCAGGCTAACATGATGCAGCAGCTTGGCTGGTATCAGACACCTACTTTGGGAAGTCCCCTTGGGACCTGTGAATAATAACAAGACTCTCCCCACCACCATACCAAGCCAAAGTCCCAGACAGAGAGAAGAGGAAGCATCCCATCTACCCAGGAGAGTCCCAGCCTAGAGAAGGCTAAGAGACCAATCCTAATGTGATGAATATAGGAAATTCATTCTTTTTTAAATTAAAAATTTATTAAAATTATTAAAAATTTCTACCTCCTCTCCTCCTCTCATTTCCCTCCACCTCCCCCCACTTCCCCTCCCACTTCCTCTCCAATCCAAAGAGCAGTCAGGGTTCCCTGCCCTGTGGGAAGTCCAAGGTCCTTCCCCTCCATCCAGGTCTAGGAAGGTGAGCATGCAAACAGTCTAGGTGACCACAAAGTCAATACATGCAGTAGAATCAAAACCCAATGGCATTGTCCTTGGCTTCTCAATCAGCACTCATTGTCAGCCACGTTCAGAGAGTCTGGTTTGATCACATGCTCCATCAGTCCGAGTCCAGCTGGCCTTGGTGAGCTCCCATTAGATCAGCCCCACCGTCTCAGTGGGTAAACACACCCCTCGCAGTCCTGACTTCCTTGCTCATGTTCTCCCTCCTTCTGCTCCCATTTGGACCTTGGGAGCTCAGTCCAGTGCTCCACTGTAGGTCTCTGTCTCTATCTCCATTCATCACCAGATGAAGGTTCTATGGTGATATGCAGGATATTCATCAGTGTGGCTATAGGATACGGTCAGTTCAGGCACCCTCTCCTCTGCTGCCCAAGAAACTAGCTGGGGACATCTCCTTGGACACCTGGAAAACCCTCTAGATTCAAGTCTCTTGCCAACCCTAAAATGGCTCCCTTAATTAAGATATCTACTTCCCTGCTCCCATATCCATCCTTCCTCCATTGCAACCGTCCCATTCCCCCAAACTCTCCCCATCCTCCCTTTCTTGTAGTGATGAGTGGCGGGCCTTAGCTTTACCCAAAATAATTACAGGAGAGCGGGAGTGGCAGGCTGCATTCCCGCCCGGTTCCTGCACGTCTAGCTTTACCCAAAATAATTAAATGAAAACTTTATTCATTTAAACACTGCCTGGCCCATTATATCTAACCTCTTCTTGGCTAACTCTCCTCTCTTGATTAAACCATATCTATTAATGTGTGTAGCACCATGAGGTGGTCGCTTACCAGGAAGATTCTAACTTGCTTCCATCTCGGAGAAGAGACCTATGACATCTGCCTCGCTTCCCTTCTTCCCAGCATTCTGTTCTGTTTACTCCACCTACCCAATTTTCTGTCCTATCAAAGGGCCAAGGCAGTTTCTTTATTAACCAAAGAAAGTAACACATAGACTGATGACCCTCCTCCATCAGCTTCTCACTTCTCTCTCCCCATCTCTTCTTACCCCCATCCCACCCCCACCACAAAGCTCATTCATTGCTGGTGGAAATGCAAACTTATGCAACCACTTTGGAAATTAGTGTGGCAGTTCTCAGGAAATTTGGGATCAACCTACCCCAGGATCCAGCATTACCATTCTTGGGAATATACCCAAGAGATGCCCTATCTTACTACAAAAGCATTTATTCAACTATGTTCATAGTAGCATTGTTTGTAATAGCCAGAAACTGGAAACAACCTAGATGCCCCTCAATGGAAGAATGGATGAAGAAAGTGTGGAATATATACACATTAGAGTACTACTCAGTGGTAAAAAACAATGACTTCTTGAATTTTGCATGCAAACGGATGGAAATAGAAAACACTATCCTGAGTGAGGTAACCCAGACCCAAAAAGATGAATATGGTATGTACTTACTCAAAAGTGGATTCTAGCCATAAATAAATGACATTGAACCTATAATCCATGATCCTAGAAAAGCTAAATAAGAAGGTAAACCAAAAGAAAAACATATAGTTATCCTCCTGGACATTGGAAGTAGACAAGATTGCCAGGCAAAAATAGGAAATTCATTCTTAATTTAAAAACATGGTATGAGAAAGCTAATGCTTCCAAAAGGAGGAATGGAGAAGACAAGATGCTTAGAGCAACGTCTCATCTATTTTTTAAATGATGCCCAACAGCTGCCTTATTAAATTCAGCTTGTGAATTATTTAGTCTGCAATGAGGCTGCAGATTCAGTGGGGAAACCAGAGGATGTCTGAAACCTGGCTTTCTTCTTTCAAAACATCATCCTGAGGCCAGCGATGGACATTCTAGTGCGACCACAGGTGCAGCTGTGATGATAAAAGCTATGTTTCCTCAGCAGGGAGGTGTGTGTGTGTTTCACTTCTTCCTGAAGGCTGGAGGTCAAGAACACTCTGGGTGTGCAACTGTGAGCCACTCCTTCAGCTCATGTCCCCACCATAGTGGCCTCATGACAAAGTGCAGCTGATTGTGCAAGGGAGAGATCAAGGCAACCTCACACTCTAAAGAGAAGATTGGAGGCACTTGCTATGCCATATCCCAAGTAATAAAACTAGCCTCCTGCCTGCATGTAGACACCTGGATCTGTGTGTGCACATGTGAAATGCACATGATCTCATGATAAAGCTAGTCTAAATGGGAGGTTTGTGAGAATTCCACGGAGGGCCCCAGGGCCACGTGAGTTTCAGGGAGAACCATGAAGAAGTAAACCAACACTCCAGCCAACACCTAGGACAGAGGTGGCATTGTGCAGGCAAAGAGAGATGCTGGTGACTCCTTGGGTAGCACCAGCCCCAGGCTTCTGAGAGAAGTAAGCATGCAGAAGGTTGTTAATGCTGTGCCAATGGAGAAGGCTGGGGGCTGGGCCTCCACTGCATCTCAGACCCTGGGTGAGTCACCGAGTCACCTCAGTTGCCTCTGCTGACAACCAGTTTGGTTGTAAGAATGAAGTGCAGCTACCTGCAAAAAATGCCTCCATCTTCAATGCAAGAGCAAGTCTGGGTACAGGTGACCACACCTGCTTATGCTCCCATGCACTGTGCATAGACCGAGAGAACCTGTGCTTGACCAGCTTCCCTACACTGAGCTCACTCCGGTCTGCTTTCTGGAGATCCTCACCTTGACCTTGCTCATGAAGTGCGTGAATGCAGTGAGCAAACATGGCTACTGAAAGAATGGAGGGAAGGTCTGACACAGAGTGGCTGGAGCCAGATCCTGATGCCAGCTCTTCCACCCTCTAGACAGCAAAGCCACCATATTGTTACAAGCTTTGGCTTTCCTATCAAGAGACGATCTGGCTTTGTTTGGTTTTGATGGTGTATGTAGTCTCTAGTACACACCCAGGAATAATCACCATTTCTCTTTCCCTGGCTCGGATTTTCACATAGTCTGAACTAAGGGTCTAGAACTTGGTGCTGTATGACTATGAAGAATGTCACAGACAGAAGAATTCCCCCCCCCCCAAGCGTTATGGGAGAGACTCAGAGGAAGGACAGGAACAAGTATGGAAATGAGGCCCAGGAGGTAGCTTCCAGCCTCCTCCAATTGAGGAATAACAGTTCTGACTTGAGTGAGTTTTTTTGAGTTTAGATGAGAGCATATTGCAATGTTTACAATCATACAGTCACAAGAAGTCTTGGCTCCAAGCACATAGTAAAATCTACTAAAGTAAAAAGCAGGGGAAAATAATAATTCCCACAATATAGAGCAAGATTATGTGTCTGGTGACATTGGCCAAATGGCCATGAGCCCCTGTTTTTACCCAGCTCTGAAAACCTTCAGGGTTAAATTCTGAACCAAACCACTCAGCAGATCTCTGACCATGTGATAAATGCAGTGTGATGATGGAGGTGGGTCTTGTATCTTATCTGTTGCTTTCATTGGTTAACTAATAAAGAAAACTGCTTGGCCTGATAGGACAAAAAATTAGGTAGGCAGAGTAAACTGAACAGAATGCTGGGAGAAAGAAGCTGAGTCAGTCAGTCGCCATGATTCTCCCACTCCAGACAGATGCAGGTTAAGATCTTTCCTGGTAAGCCAGCTCGTGGTGCTACACAGAATATTAGAAATGGGTTAGATCAATATGTAAGAGTTAGCCAATAAGAGGTTAAAACTAATGAGCCAAGCAGTGTTTAAAAGAATACATTTTCCGTGTAATTATTTCTGGTAAAGCTAGCCATGCGGAGCTGGGCGGGAATGCAGCCCACCACTCCTATTACTACAGTGTGAAGAGCCAGGTTCAGGAAGGATCACAGATGCAGGGAGAACCCTTTGACTTTTGATGTGGAACAACTGCCTATATTCTGTCGATGATATTTAAATAAATGCTGATTGGCCAGCAGCCAGGCAGGAAGAATAGGCAGAACAACCAGACAGAAAGTAGAGGTGGGTCAATGAGAACAAGAGAATTCTGGGAAGAGGGAAGCCCATTCCTCTGAAGTCCTGAGCCCACAAGAAGAAGCAAGATGTGACTACCTCACTAAAAAAGGTACTGAACAATGTGGCTAACTCAGACAAGAATAATGGGCTAATAAAAGTTATAAGAGTTAATAAGAAGCCTGAGCTAATGGGCCAATCAGTTTATAACTAATGTAGACTTCAGTATGATTTCTTTGGGACTTAATGACTGCATGAACCAGGCAGGACAGAAAACCCCAAAACCAGACTGGGCCTACATCCATGGTCTGCATCCCAGGAGCTTGGACCAGTCCAGGTTCCAGTAACGTTCCTGGACACCAATACAGGCTATGCCTGTGCCTGGCTGCATTTGAGTTTGAACTTAGAGGTCTGAAGTGCTCCAGAGCTGCAACTGATCACCATCAATCCATCAACCATCTGCAGCAGAGACAATGTGTTCCAAAAGACTCAGAGGAGACATCACCCTCACTAGGATTTCAGCAGTGTGATCAGCCTATATAGAAAGACTCACCAGTGGCTTCTCAGGCTAATTCATATGGTCAAATAGCGCAGTTTTCTTCTAGCATGGAGGTGAGCAAGTGTCTGCAGGTGTGCATGTCTCATATTGAAGATGCATTAAGTATGCAGCAGCTACCTACATTATTCAATTGAGGGAAGAGAGTTTAGAAAGCTGATTCATCACAGACATAGCATTTAAAAATAGAAGAATTGGGAAGTGAGGGGCAGGGGACTCAGGAAAGGTCCTGAAGGATGCTAGTTTGCTTTAAGACACCCACCCTAAGCTTCTTCCACCACTGCTCTCTGGCAAAGAATGGGACACTCAGTTGGGGGCTTCCAACTGAATTCTCATTCCTGCTCTGTTTGCAGACTGGGAGTCTTTGGACAAGTAATTGGCTGTGGCTACTGGTTCCTAACCTGTAAAATGGGAATGATCACATCTATGGCTTCATATGCATAGTGAACCCTTAAATGAGAAGATGAGGGCATGTCTCAAACCTCGAGAACATAGTGCAAAAGCATGAGAGATGAGATCTGATATAGCTCTGAGTGCCAAGTGAAAACAAGTCTTGACTTGTGTGTGTATGTGTGTGTGTTTGTGTGTGTGTACATCCACTCTATTATATGCAGGGCACTGAGAACAGCATTCTTTGCCTTTCTCCTCCTTCTCTCTACCCCTGACAGTTCCCATCAAGGCCATCCCTGATCTTTCCAAAGTATCACTAAAGGTTATTGGAAGTTTGAACTGTGGATACCATCAACACTAAGAAGGGCAATACTTTTTCTGAGAATTCTCCAGTATCTGCCAGTAAGAGAGTAAGGTCTGGGGTGTCACAGAGTGGCAGGTCACAATTTTACGAAAGCGGCACACAGAGAAGTATAAGCCACCTGGGAAAAAGGTTGGTTTGGTGTGGAGTTCCTCAGGCCGGATCTTCAGCTTAGCCAGGCAGAGCCCAACAAACACATCCTCCAGCTTGAGGAATGGAACACTCTCTGAGATATTGTATACTTTGCTGGCCACATCACTAGAAAAGACATAACCCGTACCAGAACAAAAAGGTGGGTACCTGTCCCAGGGATATTCAAATTTACTCACAAACCACTTGCTGAATATCTCCCTAAAGGGGGGAGTATTAGATATTATGTAACCCGTGAAGAACCTGGAAGTTTTGTTTTTTTTTAGCAGCAGGTCAGTCAGATAACCAACATTCACAAACATGTCTGAGTCTGTTTTCATCACAAAAGCTGCCTGCGGACAAAAGTGGTGGACCCATTCCATGCCCATCATGGTCTTCAGGGTCAAGTTGTAATAGTCGTCCTTGAAATCCTTCTGAATGATGTCACGGTGCTGCTTGCCCTCCTGGGCTGTAGCATTCATCTCATTGATGCTGTCTGAGGCCCCCAGGAGGAAGAGGGTCTTCACATTCCTCCCATGAATCTCTGCCTCTCTACCCCATGTCTTGCGGATGGCCATGCGAGCTGCCAGCTGTTTGTGGGATGAAGTCACCAGCAGCACAAGGAAAGGTGGTTTCTGCTTGCAGTCTATATCTGGAAGCTGGAGGAACTTCCTGTGACCTTTCTTGAGAACAAATGGCTGTGTCTTAAAAGGCTCCATGCTGAAGTACAAGCAAAGAATGTCCATCATCAGAATGAAAGCATAAACAAGCCTCATCTTCATGAACTCCATCTGAAAGAACAAAGACAAACTGCCAGGTTTCCCAAGAAAGAAGGTGGAATAACAGATACACAAACACAAAGAGATCTGAGGGCTCTGTTCTGGTGTTCCAAGCCTAGTAGCAGGGCTAGAATTTATACTTTATAAGGTACTAACAGAGAAGTATTTGATAGTTCCCAACACAGGGCTAGAAAGACCACTCAGTGGTTAGGAGCACTTCTGTCAGCAACCACCTGTATCTGCTGTTCTAGTGGAAAAATCACCCACTAGGTGGTATGGGAGGTCCTCCTGTCGGTGTATTGATTTTATTGGTTAATGAATAAAGAACTGGCTTGGGCTATAGCATGGTAGGAGGCAGGCAGAGTAGGGAGACACCATGGAGTTGCTACCAGAGATAGATGTGCTGAAACTTTGTTGGTAAAACACAACCTAGTGGTGATGCACAAATTAATGGTCATTGGTTAAATAAAGATGTAAGAGTTGGCCAATAAGAAGCTAGAGCTAATGGGCCAAGCAGTGACTTAATTAATACAGTTTCTGTGTGATTATTTTGGTTCTAAGCTAGCTGGGTGGCTAGGACAAACATGTGACCCTTCCTGCTCCAACAACTAGGACCAAGGAGACTTCATCCCAGAGATGCAGGGATGATTCAACATATGAAAATCTGTCAATGTAATCCAGCATATAAATAAACTGAAAGGAAAATAACCATATGATCATCTCACTGGATGGTGAAAAAAACTTTGACAAAACCTAACATCCCTTCATGATAAAGGTCTTGGAGATATCAGGGATACAAGAAATGTATTTAAACATAATAAAAGCATTGTGCAGCAAGCCAACAACCAACATGAAATTAAAAGGAGAGAATCCTAAAACAATTCCACTAAAATCAGGAACAAGACAAAGTTGTTCACTCTCTACATATCTATTCAATATAGTACTTGAAGTTATACCTAGAGAAATAAAACAACAAAAGGAAATCAAGAAGATACAAAATTGGAAAAAAAGAAGTCAAATTTTTGCTGTTTGCAGATGATATGATAGAATGTATAAATGTAATGGGCCAGGCAGTGATTTAATTAATACAATTTCTGTGTGGTTATTTTGGGTGTAAGCTAGCCACGTGGCTGGAACAAAAAGCAAACCCTCTCTCCATCAACAGATCCACCCACAACTGATCCAGAGCTTGAAATGAGGACTACTGAGAACTCAAGAACAATGGCAATGGGTTTCTGATCCTACTGCATGTACTGGCTTTGTGGGAGCCTAGGCAGTTTGGATGCTCACCTTACTAGACCTGGATGGAAGTGGGTGGTCCTTGGACTTCCCACAGGGCAGGAAACCCTGATTGCTCTTCGGGCTGACAAGGGAGGGGAACTTGATTGGGGGAGGGAGAGGGAAATGGGAGGCGGTGGTGGGGAGGAGGCAGAAATCTTTAATAAATAAATAAATAAATAAATACTGTAGCAGGATACAAGGTCAACACACACACACACACACACACACACACACACACACACATACAAATCAGTAGCCCTCCCTATAGACAAATGATTAAAGGTCTGAGAATAAAATTAGAGAAGCATCACTTTTTACAATAGCCACAAATAACATATAATATCTTGGGGTAACATTAACCAAGAAAGTGAAAGACTTGTACAAAAAGAACTTTAAGTCTTTGAAGAAAGAAACTGAAGAAGATATTAAAAAATGGAAAGATCTCCCTTGCTCTTGGATAGGTAGGATCAACATAATAAAAATGGCAATCATACCAAAAGCCATCTACATATTATTCAGTCCCCATCAAAATCCCAACACAATTCCTCACAGACCTTGAAAGAAAAATATTTAGCTTCATATGGAAAAAAAACAATAGCTAAAACAATGCTGTATAAGAAAGGAACGTTCTGATCCATTAGGAAAACTCTTCCCCCTACAAAGCTTCTCCGGCTTCATCCTCTACTGACAAGCTTTAAAAGCTGGACTGTGAGGAACGATGTTCAAAAGGTCCAGATCTACTTTCACAACCCTTGAGAAAGGGCAAATTGGGAGCCCAGTAGGAATACACTGATACCTAAAACAGCTGCTGTCAGAAAATTCGCATTAACAGAAAGACAAATAAGTGAAAACCCACACAGTTGTGAAATACAAACAACATATGCACTGTGTGCTAACACAACAGACACTGTGTTGTAGAAAGGAACTACACAAGGATGGACACATTTATATGAAACAGGAAAAACCTTTCCACAGTAGAGGAAGATAGAGCAGTGATTATCTTTGATGAGGGATTTTAACTGGGAGGGACACAAGGAACATTTTGGAGAGCTAAATATATTCTATCCTTGATCAGAATGGTGGCTACAAGGAAATGATTTTATGTTAAGATCTGTTGGACCCGACAGCTAAGATCTGTGCCTTTTGTTCTCGGCACACACTACTGTGGTTTGAATGAGAAATGTCCCCAAAGGCTCATGTGCTTGAACACTTGGTCCCCAGTTGGTGGTGGTGTTTGGGGAGGCTATGAAACCTTCAGGAGGTGAAGCTTTGCTGGAGAACTTACATCACTGGAGACAGGCATTGGGGATTTATCTCCTACTCCAACCTCCTGCTCTCTCTCTCTCTGTCTCTCTGTTTCTCTGTCTCTCTCTCTCCTTCCTGTCTGAAGAGGTGACCTCTAAGCTCCCCCACTCCTGCTCTCATCCTTGCTGACATGCCTCCCATAAGGAGCTCTTATCCCCCTGGAGCCATCAGCTTAAATAAACTCCTTCTTCTGTCAGTAACTTTTAGGAGAGTGTTTTATCACACCTACAAAAATGATGTAATATATGCTAATACCTTTATCACAATTAGAAATACATCTCTGAAATTTTGGCATCTTCTCCAAAACTACCCAAATTCATTTGGCCACAGATTTGATTTTTCCCCCACAATGCAGTTCATGTTGTTGTGTGTCACAACACAGGCCCCAAGAAGAAAACTGGCTTTGTTCTTTCAGTCCAATCCAAAACTCGCATCAGTTGGTGTTAGACTAGAGCCTGGTAGGACCCTTGATCCCTGAGAGTTTGCACAATGGCTCTTGCAATATTTCATAACTTACTGAGTCAGTCAATTACATGCCAAAGGCTGTTTGATTTCCATTATGAACGGGCATTGAGGCAGCAGACTCAGGTACAGGAATCCCAGTATACAACTAGGATGGAGGGGACCAGGAACTTGGAATCAGAAGACTTCTCACAAGACTGGTTCAGCTGGTGCAAGCACAGGACCTGAGTTTTATCTTCAGAAGAAAGCTGGGCACGGTGGCATACACATCTGATTCAAACACCGGACAAGTGCAGACAGCAAATGCTTGGGGCTCACTGGCTAACCAGCCTAGGCCATTTGGCAAGTTCCAGGGGTGAAGAATGACACCTGAAGTTGACCTCCAGTCTCCATATGCACACACACACACACACACACACACACACACACACACACACACAAAGAAAGCTGTTCTCATTCCAGCTCAATCCCAGCATGGTGTGTCATGCTCCACACTTCCGTCCTGAATCCCTCATCACATGGAAAACAGGGTAACTGACTTTTTCCAACTATAATGCAGTAGCATCCACATAGGGTACTCAGGGATGCCAGCTTGGTTCTGACCCTTGTGCCCCACCTTTTCAAGAGCCTTTGTGGGTGCCAGCCTTCCTGTTTATAAATGGAAATTTCCTCTCCATGGATAACTAGAGAGTCTAAAGAATAAGAGCCTTGTTCCGAGCACCTTGCTTACATCCCAAGCCTCATCTCTAGGACAAAGACCACTGGTGTAGGAGAGTCTTCTGACTATCTATGTGTTGCTTTCATTGGTTGAATAAAGAAACTGCCTTGGCCTTTTGATAGAGCAGAACTTAGATAGGTGAGGAAGACAGAACTGAATGCTAGGAGAAGAGTCAGACAGAGAGCCACCATGGAGCTGCCATGTCAGACACACTGAATCTTTCCTGGTAAGCCACAACCTCATGGTGACACACAGATTATTAGAAATAGGTTGAATCAAGATATGAGAGTTAGCCAATAAGAGACTAGAACTAATGGGCCAGGCATTGTTTAAATGAATACAGTTTCTTTGTGATTTCAGGTGTATGCTAGCAGGGTGGGTGGGACCAAAAGCAGGCCCTCTCACACAACAGTTTGGCACTCCAACATGGTGAAATGACTCCACATAAAATCTCAGAGAGCTTTAAAAAGAATACAGTGTAGTAATGAGGGAGGCGGGGCTGCATCCCCAGCACCCCAGCCGCCCGCACTGCTAGCTTTACCCAAAATAACAACACACAAACTGTATTCATTTAAACACTGCTTGGCCCATTCTCTTCTAGGCTAATTCTCACATATTAATTTAGCCCATTTCTAATCATATGTGTGTAGCACCCCAAGGTGCGCTTACCGGGAAGATTCTAGCCTATGTTCATCCTGGGTCAGAGCTTCATCCCGGGAGCGAGGCATGGTGTCTCTCTCAGGCATCTGCTCCCGAGAGAAGAGCTGTCGAGACTGAGCTCACTTCCTGTTCCTCCCAGCGTTCTGTTCTGTTTACTCCTCCCACCTATCTTCTAACCAATAAAATGGGCCAAGGCAGTTCCTTTATTAGCCAATGACCTTCCTCCATCAATACAGAGTTTAACACAGCTTCTTGCTGTTTGCTGGTGGCTTGCCACAGCTGCTTTAAAAGTGATTTTCCTGATTCAGCTGTACTGAAAAAAAAAAGGTCATGCAGTTTTAAAATGCCGGCTTTCTGGGCTATGCTCCTAGCATGACCTCTGTCTCTTGCAGGAGGCAAAGCATTTAGATGGGGCTTTGTAAGTAAACTGCTATGGTGTGCCCGAAAGGGGAGCATTGCATGCCATGGCTCAGAGGCACAAGTGACTCAAAGTCATAAACGTCTCTGCCATGTTGGACTGGGCAGGGAAAGCAGGCAGTACCTGTGTTTGACCTGGGATTGTTGGAGCTTAGATTGTTAAGAGTTT